ATAAAAAGTTTTCTTTCTGCGGCTTTATCATTAATGGTCTTTATGCTGTTCCCACAAACAATGAAAATTTCATAATAAATCCAGATTTTGATGCAGAAAGTGAACACCACCTATCCCAGATCAAAAAAGGTGTCCCTTTTGAATACGTTCATTTCTTTTTCTTAAGTCAATAGCCCGTCCTTTCTCATAGTGATGGGGCTGACCCACCTGAGTAAGGTGCTACTGCAGGCAAGCTGCACAAAAATTCAGGTAGCACGAAGAAAGGTACAAAACGTATTTTCTCCCCTCTTGGATGGCCTTCGGGAAAGACAGGAGGCTAAAAGAAACCGTGTTTAAGTCCAACAGCGTATTGTTTTTCTGTCTGAGCAGTAGGCAGACCAAAAGCCCGGTGCGTGTGCTCTGAAGCTGCCCAGACACAGTCACCAGAGAGAACGCAAGCCAACGGCACAATGCTGTGCCTGAGGTGGCCCTCCAGGTCAAGAACAAGACTCGCATTTGTGTTACTGTGTCTGCATTGCTGCTTCAGAACTAAAATCAGCCACAGCTGGCTGTCTCTTTTCTTTCAAGAAGCTGAAAGGGTGTTAAAGTTGAGTTTTGGACAGACTCAGAAATTTTCATGTATTATTCAGATCTGAACATTTAAGAGCAAAGTAGACATTTGTCAGACAACTATGCTACTCTCAATACATTTCATTAAATACCCAGTATAAATTCTATGAAACACTAGCTCATCACTTACCCCTTGAACTGCTTGAGCTGGTTGAAAGACTGGATATTTTCCCCTTGTTTTCCTTTTTTATTCCATTTCCAAATGTAACAACATTGGAATTATAAATCAAGAATATTTTGTGACTTGCGGCAAGGCATCTTTCATCATCATTCACAGAAGTCTTATCCTAAGAAAGAGGCTTCAGTATTTTATTAATTATTACTTTGGAAAAGATGTTTACATTTTGATTCAAAAATAATAATATCTCTTACTAATTGCAGGGGTTTGTCGGTTTGGAGCGGGGAAGGGGGGTTGCCCCAAGGACAGAAAAGCTTCAGATAGCTATCCATTTTTACATGTGGCTTTTTTCTGTCTCCTTTGCGCAGTGTTTTACGGATCCCATAGTCAGACCATAGCTTAGATTGTAAACTGATGAATTATGAAAATAATATTAGAAAATCTTCCTTTATTTTACTTTAAATATTTCACTTCCCACAGTAGCGCAGATCTGAAGACTGTGTTCAGAAATATCCCCCAAAAAGGCCTGCAAAGCTCTCCAGAGCAAATCAGATATCTCTGTTTTGTTTCTTAAATGATCAGTTTGATGTCCTGTCCTCTAGTTAATGAAGATCTGCCAGCAAACCCACAGCTAGTTCAGCCACACAAGTCTTAACAGTCATGTGTGATTACTTCAGAACTAGTTCTTTTACTTGCATCCCTTCTCGGTGTTTTATTCTTTGATCAGAACTTGATACCGGATGCCTTTCAGATTAACTCAAACTAATTTTTCCTTATTGTTACTTTTAATGACGAAGCTAAGGCAGAGCTGCTTCAACACCGCTCAGCAGTGGAGGTAACATTTCACTGCTTGGAGTAGAAGAAGGGGCAAGGGCACGGCAGGCAGGAGAAGGTAGGAGGGGTGCAACGGGCAGGAAAGCCCCGTATTGCCAGACTCGCTGCTCCTGCTGCTTGGGGAACCGAAAAGGCCGAGGGCCAGGCACAGGCTGGGGCTCCACCAGCCCGACCTGCACCCACCAGCGCCAGCTGCAGCAGCTCTCCTTGGGCTTCAGCACAGAGCAAGGCGTCTGCAAGGTCCTGGCCCTTCCTGCCCTGCCCAGCAGCTCCCCGAGGTCACTCGGGGCCTTCTCTGAGTAAAGCCTAGAGCCTCTTCTGAAATAAAATGTGTTATAACACGTATCCTGGAAAAATACTGTGCTAACGTTAGAAACATTGTTAATTTTCTCAACAACAATTAATATACTTGCCTTGCTTTGGTCTTGGCAGCATGTCAACTACTTTTGTTTAAGGCATAAATTTTGTTTTAAATTCCAGTGAAAGTACTTTTCTTTATGCTGCTGATGTGCCACACTCATTAGCTATAGCTAATCCAATTCCTAAGCTGAACAAACATAATTAGTTAATATTAAAGTTTTAAAAGTAATCCCGACCACGCTTTCAGGAAGGTGGAAATGGTATTAGAGTTGGTCAGAATAAAATTAACACAAAATTGGCAAAAAGTAAATAATGGGATTTCATAACATTTTCAGAATTGTTTCATTTAACTTCCAAATCACCACAATTGCTATCTACACGATACATATATGTGTGTACATGTGTGTGTGCAAGAGAAAGAGATACAAGGACGAAACTAAGGAAAAGAGAGCTGTGACAACACGAGATTAACAATTCAAGAATTTTCAGCTACATAGTAGTTTGCTGAGAACATTAAAATCTACCCGTTTGAACTTGAATGCGGTTCTGTGGGCAAACTTTTAAAAGCATGCAAGAATAGTGAAGGGGAAGCTTTTGATCCATCCCTTCTTTAAGTACATTTTTAAAACTTCCTAATGAGAAATAAACTGATGCTGATTTAAAAATCAGCATCTATAACGCTGCGTCCAGAATGTTGTCGACAGCAATGATTAGAGGCACTTGATAGCAGCCCGCATCAGTGTGTCGGGCGGAACAGCCGGCACGCAGCAAAACGCCACTTCAGCCACCCATCTCCAGCAGTCCGTAACTACAGGTCAGAATCCGGGCTGACGGCCCCTCAAAACAACCGGCTGTAGTTGTCAAAATAGGTTTAAAAATAGGAAAGCTATTGGAAAATAAATTTGCTTGACTGAATACTTGGGAAAATTTGGATAATATATTCCGGGCCAAACACGAGGAGAAATAGCTCATCTGCTGTTTAAGAAGTGGTATTTAATTAACTATTGAATTCCACTCAGTTGCTGAAGGCAAACAAAGGTCGGTATTGATGGGACAGATACTCCACCGTTTTCATTGCCTGAGCTGTAGGAAGCATCCCAGCAATGAGTAGTCTAGAACAAGCAGATTCCGTAGCTGTACCATCAGATAAAAAGTGTTTTGATTTTGCATATTGATACGGCTAAATATATACAATATGAATAATAAAGTCAGCTTTAAAGATACATAGCCTCAGTTATAAGAGATGTAACTCAAATATTGACTTTTAAAATACAGTTCATTTTTTCGGCCTGTTATCGTTCTGTTTTTCTGGGTTGATAATCTCATCACATTTATTTGGTGGTGATTTACTGTTCCTTTTACATAATATAAACACTATTTTTTGTAACTTATATAGAGAACATTAAAATTCAGGCCTATGGCTGTCATCAACAATGTGTTGTTTGTTGTACCTAATATTCAAATTTTGATGTTACAACTCCGAAACTGGACAACAACGTTAAATCCATAGCTCTTAAGAAAAGCCTTTGATTGCTAAAGGAATCACTGAAAAAAATTACTTAACTGTTCTCTTTTGGTTGCATCTATGAGTTTCTAACTCACTGCGTTATTATTTGGCCCACTTGGACGCAGAACGTTAGAAAGCAGTTGTCAGAGTCCTTCTAGAGTAAGAAAATTATTTTTCTGAAAGCGCGTCAGGACAGAGAAGATTACCAGTAAGGTTGCTGGTGCACAAAATTGTACAGATTTATGTAGAGCTGCATCACTTTGGAACTTGGACTGTTTCAATTTTAGTTCTCATAATATTTAGGTTGTTGTTTTTAAAAATAAGTAAATTAACGTTTATAAAACTACTTTTTTGTAGCGATAAATAGCAATGTTTAAAGTAAAATTAACAATATTTTCCCTATTCTGAATTTTTTAGGGTATTTGCAGGCTAAGGTATGCATAAACAGCGTATAATGTTGAGTCTGCTTCTAAACCAAATAATCTTTTCCCTAATTCTCTGAGCGAAAATTTTTACTGTTACGTTCTGCCTAGATAGTAGGGGCAAGGTCTTTACTAAAATTGCCTCTCCTACGGCAGACAGAGCTGTAATCTAGCACATACTCTACTAGTGATACCATCTGGAATAAAACACGGGTTGACACGTTTAAGTAGTATGTTCCTCATATCTCTACATATTTACCCAGTGAAATATTTCAATTGATATTAAGTAATACAAAGTAAAGCTGTCAGTTTTTCAAATACGGTAGTACTACGCAGCTCGAAGACTTTTGCCTGTGTTATTGTCTCTTAACTCTTTTGTCAGATCTGACTTCTGAAATTATTGTATCGGGCTACAACATCTAAATAAGATAGTTTTAAGATGCCAGTTACCCTTGTACCAAAGTAGCAAATCTAATTAAGAAGAAATATTTAATCTGTAATGGAAATAACGTTATCTTTTATTTCCGTATGTATATACCATATAATCCCCACCAAATAGCATGCTGAATTTCCTGCCTGTGCTTGCCTTATCTTTTCCGTGCAATTTTTTCGGATCATTAATACATGCAGTTCTCGATTATAAAACCCTGCCTTCTCATACAGCTCTTTTTACTTCAGCAAAGCCATGCTGCATTTTTAACCGCTGCTCATGCTTGCCAAAAGCTCTAGATACGTTGCCCCTTTCAAATAATAAAACACACACACACCTACAGTTCCAGTTCAGTAGTAACTATAAAAATGCAGACACTGGCACAAGGCAGGTATTAATATTCATATTATTTCATTATTAATCATTATTCATATTATAGTCATTAATTAATATTATCACAGTCAGTGGTCTGAAGCGAATGAAACGGCTCTCCAAGACTACAGCCTAAAAAAAAAAAAGAAAAAAAAAGGATGAGAAAATATCAAATAAAATAAAAAATTCAAACTTGAAGTGTTAAAAAAAAAACACATCCCCTGTTTACATGTCTCAGGAAGAGGGGGGAGGTAGTGTTTTAATTCTGGTTTCAGGGCAGAGTTTCTCCTGTAGATGAACTTATATTTATTCTGCTTTTCTTTCCCTCCCTCCCCTGCTGTCTTGCAGCAAACGTGTGTGACAACGAACTGCTGCATTGCCAGAACGGAGGAACGTGCATCAACAATGTGCGATGCCAGTGCCCTCCGGCTTACACTGGCATTTTATGCGAGAAGCTGAAGTGTGAAAGGGATCCAGGAGGCTGCAGCCAAAACTCCGGCCGGGGGGCAATATCACCCGGGCCTCTCTTACTGCTGACTGCTCTGCTAGGAGCGACTGGACTCTGCACCCGCTAGACTCCGTATGGTCGATGGCATCGCATTCAGACTGCTTCAGATGAACGTGCCACATGAAAGCAAGACAAAACCCAAGCGTTTGCTGCTGAAATTTGAAAAGGAAAAAAGAGAGAAAAACTAGCCACATACAAACTAAGAGGGCCTAACTGAACTAAGCCATATTAATCAGTTACGGACAGGGCTCTGAGTCAAGACTCTTCACCTCTGACTCGAGAGAAGCGGGCAGCCGCCTAGTCTGTCAAATCAGTGCTAGCTGCGAAGCTTACACAGGACCGAAACGGCTTTGACAGCCCCCAGAAGGGGAAGGGAATTTAAAAAACATTTGCTACTCCTATATGGTGCGCTACTGTACCTCCGCCCGGCGTGTGGACCGACCAAATAAAGGCATTCTTTGCTGTCAGTGCATTGTGGGTATAAGGAAATCTGTAAAAGCTGCCATATTGGCCTGCTTCAGTCCCCGAATCCTTTCCAACCTGTGCTTTAGTGAACGTTGCTCTGTAACCCTTGTTGGTTGAAAGATTTCTTTGTCTGATGTTAGTGACGCACATGTGTAACAGCCCCCTCAATAAAACTCAAGCCAGTCATATCCTTGTATACCTTAGCAGCACTGCATCAGTAAGATGCTGTGTTCACCTACCGTACAAGAGTGGCTATAGGACAAAAAGTGTATTTATCCTTTTGTATTCAAATGAAGTTATTTTTCTTGAAATAATGTACAATGTAGATTTTTTGTATTATTGCCTATTTGTGTTACCAGACAATTTGTTAACGTATTTAATTCTAATCAGATAAGAGAAAAATATGACTTTTTATTTAGTCCTTTTCTTTTTCCTTTCATTTAATTGTGCAGAGATTTCTCTGTATGGGCAACGTGCTGGCATCAAAGAATATCAGTTTACATATATAACAAGTGTAATAAGATTCCACCAAAGGACATTCTAAATGTTTTCTTGTTGCTTTAACACTGGAAGATTTCAAAGAATAAAAATTCCTGCATAAACAGTTCCAGGATGACGTATTGCTATTTCTTAAGGCCTTTTTAGAAAACAAAAGCGTTTTGATCGTTTTACCACCTAGCATGTGGAAGAAAAACAGATCCAACAGTGGAAATTACATCATCACAATCTAACCTGGTTTTATTTTTACTACTGTCATTATTTTTGCAAACAGTTTTAAACGTAAAGGGCGTCATTTGTTTGAGGAAGATTTCATCAAATCCCAAGCTTGGAAAAGGTATGAAAAGTTGAATAGTTCTCATCTTTGTTCTCTCAATTCATCACAGAAATTATTCCAAGACTAATTTACAAGGTATTACAGAAGCTAGTCTTTAATTCCTACTGTTTTTGTGGATCCTGGCAGTAATGAAGTAGATATAGCCACAGCTTATATTGTTTCTCCAAAAGCTTCATTAAAATGATATGTTTATATATGTACTACTCTGCCTAAGAAACTGCAAAACCAGCAGCAATCACAAGAAAAGCCAAGATTTAACTTTTAATAAAGTCAAATTTAATATTTAGAAGGAATGTCAAAATATACAGCAGCGAGTAGATAAAAAGTGCCGCTCCAGCAAATAAAGTTTGTTTCAAGTATTGCCCAAGGTGTAATAAATTCTTGTTTCTGCCTTTTATTAGGCCAATTACTGAGTGTGACAGAAAAGGGTAGCAAGAATAGAGAGGCAAGCCAAAACCACAGCAGTGTTTCAAAGTCCTGGGAAAAAAAAAATAAAATCCAAAGGTAGCAAGACTGTATGAATTCGTTTCCTGGCCATTTTCATCATAATGGCTATAAATATTTTACCAACATTATAGCCTAGTATGGAAAACAACTAATCAGCAAAAGAAAAATTCCTGAGAGAAACAAATTCTACCTGGCTGCCTCTTCCAAACGGTGAACAGAGCCGAATTTAGGGCACTGCCTTCTTGAATAAGCTCTTTCCGCTGAGGAAGCAAGTTTTGCAGGCCAGCACCCAGCCGCCAGAAACGGGTAGGCAAATCAGGTCTTTGTTTCCAAGAGAATCCTGTGAAGATGATGACGGTGAAGACGACAAGCTGGTGCTTGTTCAGGCTGTCACCTTGGCCCTTCGTGTAGAACGTTTGCTATTCGCACTGCCGCTCTCTTTTCGGTGGGCTAAATAAGGTAAGGCAAAGACAAATTAAGAGCTTGGCTGGCTGCCAGCCACGGCCTACATGAGACTGCAGGTATATATTAGAAGGATGTTCACGACAATAAACAGAAAATTATATTGCAGACTCAATGAGGAATATAAATGCTAATACAGGTGACATGCAGAGCTGGAGATTACCTACAATTAAGTGGATTTCTGATATTAAAATGTGGAATTTAAGTGTTCCTAAAGCTTATTAGCACAGACCAAATTCAGATTGTGTAATTATTGGAAAAGATGCACTTTAATTGTCATTATAAACTCAAGGCTTTGTGAAAGTGCTAAGAAAGCATGTTATGCACGTTTGGTGAGAAGGGATTCTGCCAGCAGTGCTGAAGTATAATGAATATCGGATCGCAATCAATTCAGCTGCATTCCAATTTTACATACTTACGATCTTCTAAACCAGGGCAGAGTATATGGCTTTCCACATATTTAGCTACCAGTTCGTGCATTTTGTCCTCCCTCACCTATTAATAAAATTACAGTTTTATACAGGAGTACATTCAGTGGAAATTTTTCTTATCAATCATCCTTTTCTTCAGCTTCATTATTTTTTCCTCTGAACTCCACGGAACTCCACTAATTGAAAATTTTGAATATAAGTTCCTGCTACTGTATTCCAAGTATATTTGTAATATTATGTGTGCATCTTTGAGAGAGGAGGAGATTTACATCACTCAGCATTGCTTTACCTGCTTTTTTATTTAATTCAGTGGAAAACAAAGGCAGAACCTGTTCCCCATTTCAGAAGCTGTGAAGAACAACAGACTCCTTTTCCTGAAGATAGAGTAGGATCCTTCCACGATAACATGTAGTCACGGTATCTGCTTTATTTTTCACCTGAAAATATATACCCCTTCCAACATATTCTAGGTTTCTTGGAGTGGGTATCCTGTCCCTGCGAATGCCTGTAAAATAGCAAACACATAGATGATACTGAAAAAATCACAAGAGCAACACGATCACTAACCTAGGATTTTGGTTCATATCAAAACACAGAAAAAGGAACCTACTGAGGAATTATTTCCTGTATGATATTTCTTTCCTGGAAGAAATATCATTTCATCCAAGAATTGACCAGGCTTCACATGGCTTAGTTGTCCAGATTGTAGCTCAGAGTACAATGACCTTAAACCTAGCATTCATAATTAAATTTATGCGTTGTATTAGTTCCAGTTGTTTTGCTAAATCAGTCAGTCCTAGTCAGCTTGCAATTCCTGTCTTTCTAACTAGAGAATTGGTTCTGATCCAGGATCCACATGGTTTAACATCTGAAAATGGGGCAGCTTGTGACAAGGTGCTGCTCCCTGGGAAGGGAGCTGCAGAAATTTCCACTTCAAGCTAGCCAACTTTCTCAAAGGGACATTAAGAGAGAGGCATCTCTCTTAGTGCTACATAACTGTTTCAAAAACAAACTATCCAAAGGAAAAAAAAAAATCTAGTCAGACGCAAATTGACCCCAATATTGCCTTCAAACGATAATTGATCTAATACTTTATCATGACTGAGCCACAGATAAAAATTTATTTCATGTAGTGAACGGAACAAAAAAAGAATGTGCAAAAGACTCCTCAAATTTAGAAAGAGCTCTTCTGCTTGCACATAATTTTATACATCTTTCTCATAACTCCAAGACACCAGGGGGATTTGTTATAGCCTCACTGGGATTCTAGGTTTATTAAACCATTGAATTAACTAGATTCATCCATGCATGCTGTTTATTCACCTGTGAGAAATGTGAGTAATATTTTTCATAGAATATGCAAGACCAGATTTCCAGCCAACCTGCAGCCCAGCCTTCGTGTTTGTCCTTGCAAACGCAAAGTTACAGATGTAAATATTAAGACATAGTCAATTGATTCATTCCTAAGAAAAACTGTAAGTTTAATTATTTATGGATGCAAACATTTATCCGCCAAAATGCAGATCTGGCATTATAAATCAGAAATTTTAAATTAACCAACTTAACACCTTTCCCACCACCATACAGTATCAGAAAGAAGAGGGTGTAAGAAGCGTATGCAAAACAAACAAGCAGAGCAGCAGCATTTTGCACCATATGGGGCATTTCATTTAATGAAATAAAAGTTCATCACCAGTACAGTATGTTCACCAAGACACCATTTTTGCCACAATATGCAAGAGATGAAATTCCAGTACAAAGCGTGTGTTTCCCTTCGTTGTCTTTCTGGCCAGCATTATCTATACAGACCCAAGCATATACGTGATGAAATACTGCTCAAGAAATTTTACAGCCTCAAAGAACACAAAGACCAGTGTTATGCAATCCGTAGACCTAAACAGATTGTAAAGGCTTCAGGGTTGAATTCCTGCATACATTGCTAGCTGATACTCATTTCTGAGAAGGACCGGGATAAAGGTCACATCATGGAAGTGCTCTGAACCAGAGCCTCACGGCAGTCAGTAGAACCAAAGCGACATGCCTAGTTACAGAAAGCATGAGGACGGTGTTAATCCCGCATCTGTCAGCAGGGGCAACCACATCCCACCCCGGGACACACCCGGGCATCACCCCCCCTTCAAAACTTGTGCGTGGGGGTTTACAGATGTGCGCCTGCTAGTTACAGTTGCTAAGACACCTGCGACTTACACGATGCTGCTGAATGGAGCTGCTGTGTCCTGTTGTCACTGGAAACACAATTTTTGTACTAGAAGTGAACCGTGGTTGAGAAATGGAAGTAATAACGGTGTATTCTGGGAAAAGAGGGCCAGGAGTGGGTTTTGGGGCTATTGCTTGTTTGTTTTGAGAAAATGAGACTGGTTTTGGATGAGCATTTTCTGTTTCTCACATAGCGTAGTTTTCACTCGA